TTAATATGATAGGAAATTCAGAAAACAGAAAGGTTAGTTTGTTCAGTATTGTTGATTAGTTAAATCATATGAGGCAAATGTAGAGATTTACTGAAGAAACTGAACTCAAATGCTTAACTTCTGAGATTCTCTATTTAGTTAATCTAATATTCCCAATATAGTATTCTGTGTATTTGTATACACAATTCCATATGTATTTAATTATTAACAATATCAATAATAACCACAATCTGTTATCAAATAGAAACTTTTTAATTGATGTCTATACAGAATTAGTAAGTAGACTACAGAGTAAGTGTAGCACTTTATATGTAAATCACATTATTTGTATAGTGCTCAAACTGTGCCAGATCATTTTTAGAAAAATAAAACATTGTCCCTGTCCTGAGTATAGATCTTTCAGTTAATTTTATAATGTATTTAAATGTGTGAAGATATTCTGTCACTAATTCAGTACGCTTATTTTAAATAGGATCTACTGAAGAGAATTTCTGGAAAAGCTCCAACAAACAACTTTTCCCTGATACTTTATTCCAACTTGTTCAAACTAACTCCTCTTAAACCCAGTTTTTTTCCTCTCATGCCAGTAATATAACTAAGGGTGGGTGAGAGGGGCACTTGCTCTGGGCACCAAATTAGGAAGGGCGTCAGAATCACCAGATGGGAAAGAGAAAGAAGAAAAAAAGAGGAGATAGAGAAAAAGAGATAAAGAGAAGCAAAAGAAAAAAGGAGAGAAGAGAGAGAAAAGAAAGGGAAAGGTAAAGAAAGAAAAAAAGAAAAAAGAGGAGACAAAGAAAGGAGAGAGAGAAAGAGATACGGGAAAGAGAAGAGAGAAAAGAGAAAGAAAAAAGAGAAAAAGAGAAGAGACGAAAAAGAGAAAGAAAAAGAGGAGAGAGAGAAAGAAGGGGAAAAAAAAGGAAAAAGAGAAAGAAGGCATGTTCCTTGCTACCCACATCTCCCACTGCAACCAGCTGTGGCTCGGGCCTGCTGGTCCAGGGCAGTGTCTGGCAGACAGAGGCAGTGACACCCCAGCAGCAGCCACTAGGGCCGGGGCACTCAGTCCTCCCCAGTGGTCCTGGAGTAGGGGAAGACCAGGCCCAGGGTTGGGAGGAAGGGCCCATCTGGGTCTTGGGCAAACAGAGGCCCCATCCCACTGGGGCACCAAGCATGAGGGCTGGGTGCTCGGGGCAGGATCTGGGTGGTGTGGGGAGAAGCAGGCATGTGGGGGAGCAGCACAGGCAGGCTGGCTCGGTCAGGCCCTTGGGAAGGTGGCAGCTGGAGAGCAGGGGCCGGGAGGCAAGCGTGTGCAGCCCCTGGGCTCCACAGACTCAGGCCATGGTGGTGGGCAGGGGCACCCAGAGGCACCTGAGGTGGGACCTGGCTTGGCCCAGCCTGTGCAACTCCATGGGGATGCACCACAGCTGCCTTGCCCACAAGGGGACACAACTTGGCCAGGGCAGGATGCCAGGCTAAGGGGGCTCCCAGCTACAGGCTCAGCCTCCCTATGTACTGGGCACAGCGCAAGTGGGATGGAGCCACCTCCCATGCAAGGGCCTACACACAGCCCAGCCCAGTGCTGCAGGTAGTGCTCAGGGTCAAGCCAGCCAGGAGCCTCCAGCGTCCCTGTCTGTGTTCTCCTGACTCTTTCCCTGGTGCCTGCCACAGCATATTTTTTTAAAACAATATCCTCATATACCACTTGGCATGCCAAGGAAATTGTCTCCACATGCCACTAATTGGCATGTGTGCTTGCCTATCCCTGGTTTAGGAGTTCCTGGCATGGGTAAGACTACTGCTTGCCCGACTCCTCCCACTCTCAGAACCACAGATCCTGGAACTACCCTTTTCCCCCTACTTTCCCACAGGGTTTGCCCTGGGTGCCAACTCTGCTTATCACCAACTGCCTCTAACACCTTTTGGTGTAAATTAGATTCATATATTGGTGATATATTTGATTATATTTACTACAATTCTGCTTTCCAGATTAATTTTACAGGCATGGTTATTATGGACTGACCTGGGCCCAGTTCAGCAAAGCACTTAAGCATGACCTTTATAGTCCATTACTATTAAACACAGCACTTAAATCCATTCTTAAGTTTTACTGAAGACAGTAAGCAATGAAATTAAAGTTTATGCCATCACTTTCTTGAATAAGGACAGACTTAAACACATGTGTAAATGCTTTAGTGAATTGAACCCTGTTAGAGTGCTGCTAATGAAAGTTGGGCAAGCCACCTTTTATTTACCATAGGGTAAGAGTATGCAAATATGTAGTTAATGCATGCTGAAAGTTCACACTCTAGCTTTTTTCATAGAAACTTGCCTGTGTGCCCATATCCTTACTTGTCACAATTAATTCAAATATATTAAATAAGCTAATTTATTTAATCATATATACAAGAGACAAGAAGAGTCCTAAGCACTAAAGGGATGCGAGATGGTTGAGTCAATCACAATTCCTACTTTCATCTTATTGGACATGTTTGGATACCACCCTGAGAAAAATGCTTTAAGAAACTGTCCTTTTAAGAGGATCTGGCCTGAGCCAGCTGGAACTACTAATGTTGTGGAGTCACTTATATTAAACAATGCCAATCAGTTAGAACTGAGAGACTGAAAGATGTCTGTCAAATTCCTTGGCTCTGAGTGATTACTGAACACCACAAGTATGGCATATTCCTGTCAGTCTGGAGAGCCATGAGAGCATGGCTCTGCCCATGAACAGATCTGGGATTTTATAAAAGGTAGGTATGGGTGGGTGCACCCCATACCTCTAGCCTTTTCCCTTGCTCTCCACTGGGGTGATCAGACCATACCATAGGAGCAGCTGCAGGGATTTTTTTTTAAATCCCTCAGTCAGGTAAAAGTCTTCCCTCCCTTATGTGCTCAGCAGCATGTTGTCTCCCCTTTCCTCCCATTCTCCTGCTCCCTGGCCCATTGCTGCTGTGCCTACTGTCATTAACTGATCTGGTAGGAAGGAAGGTGGTGCAGAGGTAGGCATGTTTCAGACCCACTCCTGTCCCACTCCAGCCAGGCTGCATGTGGAATAAGACTCAGTCAAAGACAGCAGTGATAGCAGCAGTGGCAGTAGAAGGCAGGTTCCCTCCCCCTCTGACTGCTCTCCAGTTTGCAGGGAATATTTGGAGGGACTGGCTGGAAGGAGAAACCCAACCACTATCACTACTGTCCCCAGCTCAGCCCAGCTCCCTATGGAGTCCAGTAGGAATGGGAGGGAGTGGCTCTGAAGCATTCATTGGGGCAGCTGAGGACAGTGTCAGCCATGGGTGGGGTGGGGAGAAGTGCTGCTGAGCAGGGGGGAGAAGGGAGGGGGTAGTTCTTACCCAATTTGGGGACTTAAAAAGTCCCTGGCTGCTGTGCTCCTAATGTCTTTGACTGAAAGGGGGTGCATGTGCACCACAACACCCTGTCTGGATTTATGCTACACCAGTTAGAATGTCAGTGAGCTGTGGAGCATTAAAGGAAGAGGCACTGTCACTGGCATTCTAACTGGTGTACCAAACATTGTGTTTGATGCATTTTAGCCTCAGCACAAAATGCAGTTTTCAAAGTGCAGGACAGACACAGATAACATACTGTTTACAGTCGATAAGATATGCAGAGGCCCATACAGAGAATATCTGCTTGAAAGACCAACACAAATTGCAGGCAGGCAACACCCTCCTGCCCCTGGCAGCACTCTCTGCTTCAAGTGATGTAGTCAGGTTAATTGGAATTTGTTATTGTTGCCCTTAAATGGCTATGTTTCAGCTGGTTACAGTAAGTTTTTTTGGCTTGAACCTGTCGTCTCTTTAGTTATCTTAGCTATTACTTGCTTATGACATTATTCTGATTCTGTTTTTATTCTTGTTTCCCTTGTAACACCAAATCATTAAAAATTACAGCACTGGGCTTTGCTTTGTAACTTGATAACATGAAATCAATAAACTAGTGAACGTATCATACTAATACATTTCTTTGATAAACCTCTGCTAAGAAACTCCTACCATTCAATGAGCATCATCATTAATCCCATCACAATTGCTCAAGCACTGAGATAGTTACACAGTGAGGATGAAATTTGAGATTTCTTTCTGATTCCAACTTAAATAGCACTGCTACGTTTTGACAGTGTTCAATATTTAATTAGTTGTGGTAGAAGATCTGCATAAGAAGAGAGCTTTCTGAGTTAATTAAGTCCCTCATACAGAATGTACCCTATATTTTAGTCAAACTGTTTGTTTTTGTGAATGTATTATTCAGAGGACTTTTGTGTAAGCTATTCATTTCATAGTTTTTCCCTCGCAGTCTCACTTGGGTTCTAAAAAGAAATTATGGACTCTCACTGTAGCTGTCATGAAAGACAACTCTTTTGTGAGCTGGAACAGAAAGCCTAAGCTGTAAATTGATCACTACAGTGTAGAGAAGTGATGGTCATTTGTTCCATTCCTCTTGCTACCTGAAGAGTAAGAAAATACAAACCAAAACACTGCATGTCATGAACATATTTGCTAGCTCTTCAAGATACCATGCTGCTAATACTGCACTCATCTGACATCTTATTTATTGTGTTTACTATAGCACATATTTGTTTGCTAGAAGACATAGTATTTTAATGACATTTTCTTTCATATAACATTTTCTTTGTCTAGCCTTCCAGAATCATTTAAATGCATGCTATAGTTAAACTTTCAAACTAGGGGTACTGATTCATTTTCTTTTTATCTTTTTGGGCAAAAGAGAATGGGATTCCTTCACAGAAAGTATTAACTTATGTAGATCATGTGTTTAGATGGTATGTTAAAGTGGCCATTAGAGGGTGATATTTTTCTTGAAAGAGTATCTTGAATAATGAAAATGTCCGTAGGCATGATTCTTCTCCTACACCATTTTGCACTAGTGTGCCTTTATTGTATGCAGTAGAGTTACTCATCATTTACAACAGTGTACACAAGAGGAGAATCTGGCTGTCTGTCATGTCTTGTAACGGGACGTCAAAAAAGAAATAGAAAGTCTTGCCTGAAAAGGGAAATGAATAAGTATTTTGCATAAGTTAAAAGCTAAACCAGGAAGGAACTTATCACTAGTATGCTAGATGGGAGCTCTTCAGTGACACGTGCTTGACTATGAGAAAAGCAGATCTTCTGAAATTATTAATAGCAATAATTATCATGTTTATTATAAGTTTGCCTGAATTTTTCCAAATCCAAGAAGGTGAGTGATTAGCTTTAACAAACAAGGTCTCTTCTTATTTTAAGGTCAGATTACATTTAAAGAAGTCACATGGACTTTCCCCAAGGAGCTATGATGCTGTTTTTTTACTGATAGTAAACTTTACAAAATATTTATAAAATGTTATTTCAATTAGCTTCTTGTTTATAATGAAGTTAACTATGTATACTGTCTGTGAAGAAAGTTACTTATCCCACAAGGGAAAATATTGTAGATATTTTTATTTAATAAATTTTGTACTTCTAAAATCTTAACTTAAAAGATAAAATTAAAAAATATGTACTTTTGCCTTCTGGCAGTGTTTTTGTTTAGAAGATAACTGCCTTTTAGAATGATAATGTTTTTAACTCCACATACCCAAAGGCATAAAAACTTTTGTAAAATTACTGTGCTATTCATCCATACAAAGAATATAAGATATGTAAAACTTCTGAAGATTTTATCTAAGTAATAGGTAATAGTAAACTGAAGCAAAAGGAGGGCAGAACGGGTAGAACTGAGTGAAATAAAACTCTTAATGTGATTTCCCTATATAAACTGATGATCACAGAGGTTGAAATTGAAAGCTGAGAGACTTAAGAAATATATAAGATTATTATTATACATTAAATGCTAAATCCAGAGATAAGAATAAAACATGGTTTATAACCTGTATTCCAAAATAGGCCACTGATAACATGATAAAATAAGTAGTCTTCATCTGATAAAGATGACTTGTGTCCCCCAAAGGCTATGTGTTGATTCTTTATAAAAATAATATTCACTAAAAACTGAATACTAAAAATACATCAAGTTTAGGATGCTTTATTTGCATTTGACTGTACATGTTATTTTTCCAGGCAAGAACTGTCTGGATTCTAATTCAAATATAATAAAGTTGATAATGTGTAACTAAAAAAAAATCTAAGATTGTTAGGCTGCTTTAAGTTTTCAGATATTGTAAAGAGGTGTAAGCAAAATTAACATGTTGACACAACTGGCATTTACCTTTATGTAAAAGTGACCAAAGTACAAATTAGCACTCAAACTGCAGTTTGGCACAGATTGCACAAATATACCATAATGATATTAACCTTACCAAAGGAGAACATTTTGATGTTGCTGTCAGTTATCATGTAGCAACTATACTACCCAATGGATTTTTTGTTAGGTAACACTGTATACTACAGCTGGTGCAGCCTCTGCAGTTTTGACATTTTGCACCTGCTAAATTTTAACAACAATGTTTGCAAAATTAGAAAGTCTAGTTGTGCGCTGAACTATATTCAACACTGACATTTTCAGAGGAAAAAGAACAGCATTTACAGCATGCAGGATGCAGCACAAATATGGCTAAACTGGTTATAATCCTTGTTTATACTCTTAAAATTATATATCAAAGTCTGACCTGATGTAAAGCAGTGTAAATAGAGTCAAATTAGCAGCTTGGAATATAACTCTGTGCATGTCCTTAGAGTAACAAGAACATAGTTAAGCATCTTCTTTTGCAAACTAATCATTTGGGGGAGAGGGTCTACTGGAGTTCAATAGAATTTATGGAACTTTCAGAGTTGGTATGTTAAATTATGGAAAAACACCCAAACAATCTTAGAGATATGAATGTGTTTTGAAAACTCAGTTTAATTTGACCTGGAATCCCAATCATGAGTGTGTAGCTATAGCATGACTTCACTGCAGAATAACAGAGTTATAGAACTTTGAGTGCTGTCATTGTTTATTTCTGTATCTTAATATGTGTGTGTTTCTTTTAGCATAACATTAACTCTGAATCTCCTGAATTTATAATCCTTGTTTTAAGAATAATTACAGCCTTTATAATTTTTTTACCCTTAAGTGCTCATATGAACTCTCGATCTTAATTGTATTTGAATGTAGTTGTTTGAAATAATATTATGTACAGCAAAATCTTGTTACCTTAACTACTATACATTTCAGCATTTAAAGAAAATATCAGGGATTGTAAAACATGTCTTGTCTCTATTCTTTTGTGGGTAGGCATTATAAAGCAGTAATTCTGGTACAGTTCTGTAGGAAAGCCGAGAGGTATGGTATGGTATGAATAGGCGGTATAGGAAGTGAGTGGCAAATTCCATGTCAGCTGTCTCCACAACAGAGGAGGAGGCAGGGGATGCGCAGTTGAAATAGAGGGCAGCACATAGTCCACCTTGCATCATTCTCTTTGTATGTTTACTAATCTCTTGTAAGTGGTCCCAGTCACTGGCTATCATGTAATTCCAAGCCCCAGCTGGGTCTGGGTACAGGCCAATTTTGTCTCTACATTTTTATTTCCATTCTCAGATTTCTTGTCTGACACCTTTTTGGGGACGTGAGTACTACCAGTCACTCTCCTTAGAGCCAGAAATCAGTGGCTGAGACCTCCTGAGATACTCAGTTGCTTACATTTCCCCACAGGGTTTTGTGTAGACTGCGTAAACTTCTAGGTTACTCCTTAATCTGGCATGTAAGCAAGGAACAGAGGGAGAGCTGAAAGAAATTTGTGATTTCTGCTTCAGAGAATGTTTTCATCCTAACATGAGAAGGAAAGTTGACAAATTAAAATTTTCCATTGAACAGAAATTCTGAAAATTTCAATCTGCAGATGTCTAATTTTGCTAACATTTTCTACTGAGAAGACACAATGTGACATTTCAACATACATCAATAAAATATTTTTATTTCAGAAAAGACACAAATTGCTTCATTCTGAATAATTGTCAACTGTATCACCTTATAGTAACACAATGCCTTAGGGCCATTATAGTTTTGGCGTCTGATATCCCCATTCTCCCTCTAGGCCTGCCTCCCTGCTGGAGTACATCTTATATAAGGCAAACCATCACACTCCCATGATTCACCACAAAGATTGGTCACAGAGAAATGAGTATTGTGTCAGGAGTTCCCCAGAACTATGATGCATATAAAGCAATGTACCATGGCAGAAAATTGCAGTTTAATATGTGATTGAACTGTTTCAAAACAAAGCATGCAGTCAAATATTTTTTAAAATTTCTAATTCATGTCAAGTCAACTGAGAATGAAATGATTCATTTAGATGCTTCTAATGGAAAAGAAACATTTTGGCAAAATCAGTTTTTTTGTGGAATCACTCTAATGGAAAATTCTTAAGCAGCTCTAAATGTTGGCTCTGTAAAAATAGTTCCCTGATCACAGAAACGTTTAATGTAAATCTCCTTTAGTTACAGACCTTTAAAAACAGAACAAAATCTTTAGATGCATTGTCTCCTGAGAATGTATCTCTCTTGAGAAGATGCACACTCCTATTGTGAGGCTGGGGTTTGTCAGCATTTCAGATATGCAGAGTCCCTCCTGCTGACACTCTCCTGCCATTATGTAGCAATGATTGCACCCATTACTTGCACCAAGCAACACCCGACTCTCAGGAAACCTCTGTCTTCCTTCCATGTACTTCAGAGGGAAGCTTCATTCCTGCTGTAATGATGCTTATTCCACCCACCGTACAAACCACTGTTCTAAGGAGACAGAGGTAGTCAGCAATATTATTCTGAAGTCAGGCAGAAGGCAAGGTAGATATGTACCTTTTAGACTAACTAAGATATGGCGATCATAAGCTTTCATGAACTTGAGCTCACAATACAATGACAGCTGAGATTGGCCCTACGTTACAATCTTGCTAGCTTCTCAGTGGTCTTCTAATGAAATGTCAAGTACTTTTCCGGGGTAAGGCAATATTCATATTCTTCCCATGTATGGTATTTTAATATGCATTTATAACTTTTATAAGAATAAATATGTTTTTCATTGGGTCATGGTCAAAAAACACTTCATAGCAGGCTGCACTCAGGCAAGTTTAATTGTAGATTGAGCATGTAATATGAAATGGACTTCATAATTGCTTACAGATAGATATACATATTCTGTCACAGCACAGTCAGTGGATGCCAGACTACATGTCCAGAGTCCTGAGGTGCAGACAGAAGGGACAATTTTTGCCTGATCTGGCCCCTGAAAATGCTCTACAGTTGTGACCTAACACAAGTACATGGCTGCAGAGTGCTTTAAAAGGGATCGAGCCTGCAACAATCTGAACCCTTATTACAGGAGGGTTCAGATGAAGGTGCTCCAAAGAGGGGTACCTTCATTAACTTGTGTCTGCATGTGCCATGTGAAAGGTGTGTAGCACAGAAGGGCTATTTGCATTTCCTGGGAGCTGTAGCTGTGACTACAATGATGAGCATCTCTCCTTTTTCTGGCAGGAGGGAGAATTCCATTCAGCTCCGTACACATTCCCACAGAGATCCTCTGCACAAAGACCATTTTCTTTAAATTTATTTGGGCAACCAAAATGTGGCTGAAAGAGTTCACTTTGCCATTACTGCCTTCTTTACATTGTGAAGAAAACCCTTGATTCTAAGGGAAGAAACAACCTCTACTTTTGGCTTTATATTGATTCTTTATTATATTATAACACTTTTTTTTCCTTGTATTTTATGTACACAGTCAAGTAGTCCATAAATCACTGCATTTGTGTTTTTATGGAGTCTATATTACTTTCTAAACTACTGTCACCAAGAAGTGAAGGTAATTGACTTTGGCATTTATTTCAGGATGCCATTTCTTTATTCTGTCTGAAATCCTTCACTTCACTGATCGTTAGGCTAGTCTCCCTGGATGGTAGGACAGATAACCTATTGAAGCCATCAGATTGCGGTCTGGGCGTTGGTGTATTTAAAAGATCTATTATTATCTCTATGTATGAAAATTTATTACCACCAAATTCCTATCCTCTCTAGTGGGGGTTGCATGCATAAATTCCTATTCATGGAGATGAAAGGATATGTAAGAAGTGGAAAGGTGAACTACTGGATCATGGGTTATGATATCATGAGCAGAGAGAGTAATTATTTGCTTTCTTAAGAATGAAATTGGTGTTCAGTCCTAGTATCTTTTGCTTTAAAATTATTTTCAGATTTTAAAATAATTTAAGTTTACTTTATTCCAAAGATACAAGTAAAATCTCTCTCTAGCAATTATTTAATGTTGAAGAGAGTACGAAAACTGAAAAAAACACCCTAATTACTTATAAATATTATGGTATCTTTGTCTGAGTTATAGTAATGCTGTCTACAACCAACAGTTATTGAAATTTAACAAGGAAGCCGGAGAAAAGGAGAGAAGATAGGAGACAAAAATGGTAGATAATTTTTATGAGCATTAGAACACACAAAAGCTGTAGTGTGGAGAATTCAGGTATACTTTATATAGTCTCACCTTCTGGAAACATTGTCATTGGAGATGGGTTTAAATTTGCTTAGAGCTGTTTGTCAACATAATCGTAATAACTTACTATAACTATGATGGTTTCAGAGCAAACTTCGTTTTTAAGGGCTTCGTCTTTAAAAAAAACAATAAAAACTTAACAGCTCTGAAATAGGTGAGTGCCTAGATACAACTGTGAATGCAGGTTAGTATTAGCACAGATTTAGTATTACTGAGCAATAAAATCTAATATGTAGAATGTGAGAACATTTTGCATACATAATGTTGCATGGTATTATATATTCAATATAAGGCTACAATTCTCATGAGGTTATCTGTCCATTTCACTGTATCATGGTAAAAAAGAGTAGCTACTTTTGTCCTTTCATTTGACTATGTGTTTCTTGTATGAGGAGCCTGCCAATATAGAACGTTGTCTTTCTTTTTGTTTTACAGAAAGCACTATTATTATATCATGCATGGATGCTTGTTCACTAAATAACATCACTTTTCCACTCTGTGGTTTTAACAATTCTTATGAAAGCTTCCTTCGACATAAAAGGAAAAACCAGACTGTCTTTTTGAAGGCCTTTGTTAATCAATCCAATATTCAGAATATTCCAAGTGTTTGCCAAGTCTCCAGTAGTGAACAGCAACAACATATTGTAAACTCAGAAGGTAAAGAAAGTGAACAAAGGAAAACATATCATTATTTATATGCAGCTAATTACATCTAACTAGGATTTATTAATTTTTTGCCAGATAAAAGGTGATGAAAGCTTTATTCTGATTCATATGAATTCTGCTTTGTAGACATAGTAGGTTTTTCTTGCTTTCCTACAAAATGCACAGTTAATGCCAAAGTCTCCCCTCAGATGCAGAGACAGGCCATGGAATCCATGCCTGGGTATAAGTGTAGAATTCAGGTTTAGAGCTAACTCTTGATTATGCTGTGCTGGGAATTTTCCAAAACCCTATAAGGAGGCATTCCATTATCTTCCACAGGCTTTGTAATAGGCTCCTTTGCAGAAGTAGGAAGTTATGGGGAAAGACTGTAGGGAGCCTTTTCTGATCTTGCCTATTCCAGCAGCCAGGAAGAAGGCTGCACACAAAATATACTATATTAAAATATACTATATTTCTTTACTTTTCCATCCTTCCCATCTTCCCTTTTCTGGTCTGATCTTCAATTTATTCTTAAAAGGCTATATTTTGGGATAGCTTTCATACAGACTTTCTTATTAATTTCAGTTACTTGGGCATGGAACTGTATATGCAGATAGATAATATTCCAGGATGAATGGAATATAGTTGATCAAAAGAGAGATTTTTCTTGTGGTAGAACAAGACAATGAGAGTGAAGATGAATTCAATTACCTTTTATGTGCTAATGACAGTTTTCCAGCCACGTAAATGACCTTTGTGGCACTTACACAGTTTGCAGTGATGTTACCCTGTATTATATGTGTATATATGCACATGTATATACTGAGCATGCATAACAGGCTATGCAGCTTTTTAAGTACACACAATGTATGTGTGTAAGTAGTTAAATTGTAGCTAGACAAAAAAACTGTGATTAGTGAGGGGAGAAGCATTTAGTTTTAGTTTCAATAGCTAAACTTTTCCTAGAAAGCAGGAGACTTCGCCTCTAGGCTCTACTTTTATAGCTGCCCCCCTAGGTAGCTAAGAGAAGGAGGTTTATGGGGCCTAGAGGAAAAAGAAACATTAGAGCAGTGGTGCGCAATCTATGGTCCACAGGCCGCATCTGGCCAAGACATGTCATCTAGCCTAGAGGGCTCCCTGGGGGTCCAAAAATTTGGTGGTGTGGTATGGGATCAGTGGCAGTATTAATTGCTCCCAGAGCAGCAGAAATTAATACTGCGACAGTTCACCCGCTGCCAAATTTCCAGACCTGTGGCGAGCCCTGCAGTCCAGATGACAAGACCCATATGCTGAATTATACTGGCAAGTGGGGTCAGACCATCATCCAAGGTCACTCTGTAGCTGGATCCTGTGTGTGGAGCTGGGTTAGGGTCCAGGGTTGCTCCGTGGCTGGATCTGGCACATAGGTGTGCTGGCTTGAATCCCTGGATCCACCCTGTGCACCAACCCCTGCTGGATCATGCCTATGGACTGACCCTGTGTATGGCATCTGGCCTGTGGACTAGTTCTGTGACATGCATGCAGCCTGCATGGCTAGATAAGTTGAGCACCACACTGCTGGCATGGAACAGCTCCTGTGTAACAGCCTGGACCCTTGCTTCTAGTGAGGCAAAAACTTCCCCACTACTCTCCACACATTTAAGCCAAAGACTATTAAATGCTATATATGGTGACTCAAGTTTCAAAAAGAGGGTGTTGGATAATGCCTAACCTATGGCCTGGTGGTTGGAGCACTCTGTAGGAAAACAGAGATTCAAACTTCCCTCTGGATGAGGTGGGGCTAGAGCTCAGGTCTCCCAGAACTCAGGTACTCTGCTTCCTGTATGAGTGTCCTAGCCACTTAGCTCTTGGTGCTGAAAACAGGAGGGTCCTCCTTCTCTTAATTTTTTCCAAGACTTTTGTTCAGTTACACACAAATATAGACATATACCTGCCTGGCCAGTGCTCAGACTACTCCATATGCACACCATATGTGTGTGGCAGTGCACTTTTGGTCCCTGCCACTTTAAGTGCTGGAAGCAGGCAGCCACCAGGTTCTTGATGAAGGCAGCCATTTTCGAGCCCAGCTGTCAGGGCTGGAGGCAACAGTTTGATGCTAGCAGGCAAGTAGGTAACATCTGGCTGAGCTTCTTCCAGAACATCTTGGAGGTAAGGGCAGGAACTATGGGGATGGCAGGAGGCTCCTGGTTCTGGGCATGACCTGAAACTGCCAGGAACGGGTAGCCTGGTGGGTCTGTCTGTGGTGGGATAGCCCCCAATAAATTCCAGGTCAGTTACCTCCCCAGTGAAAGGCAGGTAGGGGTGCCTTAACTCCAGCCCCCACCATCTAGTGGGTGATTGTGAGAACGTATATATGTGCCTGGGGGAGGGGCAGACACGCTTATAAAGCAGCACTTGAGCCCAGCAGGGGTATAAGACCCCAGAGGCCCCAGAGTGGGTAGTATTGATGTGAGGGCCTGTACAGAGTAGGCTGCATAGAGGTACTTGAAGGACTGTGCATGTGTGGTGCAGAGTAGGGCTGCCAAGTGTGGCCTGAAGGGCTGCACCAGGGGTTTACTGAGTAGAGCTGCAAGGGCAGCTTGAAAAGCAGTACATGGGCCAACCCTCATGAATGAGAACGGGAGCAAGTTGTCTGGTGAGGGGCTGGGGCAGAAGCAGCCCAGTGTTTGGCACA